AGGCAACGCATGGAGAAGCTGCTTATAAAGGAGAGGGGCAACTGATAAGAGGAGGGGTGGGTGATAGAGGGTGACGGTTGGTGATGAAGGGGAGGAGTTTCTACTAAACAGAAGGAATAAATGTTGAAGGGGGGATATATAGATAAGGGGAGGAGCTACTGATATGGGGAGGAGGTGGCAATGAGGAAATGAGCACTTAAGAGGAGGGGCTACTGACAAGAGGAGGAGTCAATGATGAAGAGGGCATCTATTGATAAGGGGAGGGGCTACTGGGAGCTCAGGTTGGAGTATTTCTTTAATTTGGATTGTGCAAGCAAACTTTACTTAGACATGATTACTCCTCTCCATAGTGTAAATGCAGTAGTACTCACAACAGGTACTATTGGGCAGTTTTAGTAATTAACTTCAGCACTTTGGCAACTGTTCAGTGTCTTCTTGGAAATGGTTTTAATTTCTGTTTAGTAAGAAAACATTAGTGCTCCATTTAGGAGGACACTAAACTCTATGCTACAGGGTTAAGTGTATAAGTACATAAGTGCTTCTCAAAGAGATTCAAACCAGCCCCGTCTCCATTTCACATATATGATGTTTGCTGTAATCAGGCATCATCCCCACAGCGAGTGTCTGAATGGAGGACAACATCAGTTTCCAAAGAAAAAAGATAAGTTGACAAAGAAAACAGAACATGATTGGAAAGAGAGGTGTGTGTCCAAGGTGGAGTTCTGTTGAATACAAGTTCAACCCATATTTTGAAAAGCCGTAGACATGTGAGGAAAACGCTGGATAGCATCTGTATCCAAATACAAGACGTAAAGAACTCAGAGACTGCCATAAATACAGGCTGGTGTCAGTAAACTGCACTGACTGCTTTCACTGTCGACTGTACTCAAACACAAACACTAAACAGAAACTCGGCATGAATGAACAAAAACGCCATTTACAGAGAAACACTGGAGCCGTGTACCTAACCAGGGACTATATTTAGGTGCTGTGTAAGCTTGTCACAATAATCAATATATTGCCTTATCGTGCAATGCAGGGACACAACCTCATTCATTTCTGTAGATGCAATATGTATTATTTAAGAAAAGGAGAATTTTCAGCTTTTCTTAAAAGTTTCTGGTGGTTGAAAGGTATTAAATGAGCTCTGTTTCAAATATGTAAAGCACCAGTTAATTGATGAATGATGAATAATAAAGTTAAAAAAGAGGCGTTTAAACCCAGTTGTGTGTCAGGAGTCTATGAATATATCCAGCTTCTAATCATAAACATTAATTATTTAATTGTATATACTATAATCTGACTTGATGAAAACAGTTTGCAGAAGCACTTTAATGCTACGTACAAAGGGAGAATGTCAATCAGAGGGGGAAAGCCCCGCCCACTAGTGCCCATCTCTCCCTTATTAGCATAAACAGCAGCCCTGAGCGAGAAGCAGCCGTCTGCCCATTAGCCATTAGAGTGTTTGAGTATATAAATATTAAGTTAGAGCATAAATGAGTTGACTCCTCACAGATCTGAGTACTGTATATAAACTGAGTACTGTATATTAATTGATTGACTTTACAGAAATGTGATCAACAGTCTTATGCAAAAGTTTGGACACCCCTGATAAATTTCTGAATTGCAAGCCATAGCATGCTGGCCTTTCAAATCAGCAATTTCCTTTGGATATATTTCATACCCAAGGAAAAAAAAAAAAAAACATTTCAGTTCAGACAAAACATTTATTTAATCAGCAGATGCAGTGCAATTTAAGTCTGAACACAAACAGGCAGGTGCAAGAATGTGAGCGACCCAAAAGAATAATGGCATTAATCTGTAGAGCCACCTTTTGCTGCAACAACAGCCTGCAGACGCTTCTAATAGTCGAGGATAAGTCTTGCTGAAGGCATTTTGGCCGATTCTTCCTTGCAGAAGTTCTCCAGTTCAGTCAGGTTTGATGGGCGTCGAGCGTGAACGGCCCTTTTCAAATCAACCCATGGATTTTTAGGGCGCTTTCACACCTAGTCTAGTTTGCACAGTTAGCGTGGATCTTTTGGCAAATGTGAATCCACCAATCACTCTCAGATCCGGGTTAAAACAATTGCTCCGAGATCACCTGACTTGAGGTGGTCTCGGCTTGATTGAAATGAACTCTAGAGCGGATCGATTGTAGTGAGAAAGCGATACGATCCGAGCCCGGCTATATCACAGTGCTTTATGGATATAATGGGCATACGGCTATATGAAGAGAGAATAATGAGTAGGGCGGGAGGTTATTCAACAGACATCCAGAGTCTGTCTCAAATGCACAGAGACTCCCCGATGCCCGCAAACGAGTGATAATCTCCCAGTAATTATGCGGCTTCCTCCCGGTCCTTAAATATGTCGCGCAGCCTTCTCACTGCATCCCTCCTCGCTCTTCAGACACATCGCGCACCTTATCAACACCACCAAACCATCACCCCCCTGACAGCTGAGCTGAACTCCGTGAAACTGACCAATGTGAGGAGAGTTTACTCACACGTGACTGGTTTTAGCTCTTTTGGTCTGTTTAGAAACTCTGCAGTGTGAAAGCGAACCGCACCAAGAACAAAGAGCAACAATGTAACAATTTTAATATCAGTTTCAGAACTACTGAATCGTCTGGAACTGTGCTTTGGGTCATTGTCCTGCTGAAACATCCAACCCTGCCGTAACTTCAACCTCTTGACCGACTCCTGAACATTGTCCTTCAGAATCTGCTGATGCTGGGTGGAATCCATACAACCTTCAACTCTGACAAGGTTCCCAGTACCTGCGCTGGCCACAAATCTGCACAGCATGATGGACCCTTCACCATACCTTACAGTAGGGAGCAGGTTCTTCTCCTGGAACTAGGGGGTGTCGGAATTAATTGTTTCTTTAGTGCACCACGATGCAAATAAAGGGACAATTCGATATCGGTTCAGTAATAGATAATAACCTGTTATTATTAGGCCCACACGGAATCTGCGCGCGCAGAATTCCGCAGATTTTCCACAGAATTCCGCAGATTTCTAGCTCATTATTAATTCTGTTTATTTACTTGAGTAAATGGCTGCGTCCGAAACCGCCTACTACTCAGTAGATACTTACTTAATTAGTAGAATTTAAACGTACTACTCTGCCGTTAGAAAAGTACGCTCTATACAGTATGAATGTGAAAAGTATGAATGGAATTCGGACGTACTACATCCGCCATTTTGTCATGGTCACGTGACCTACCTGCGTCAGTTGCGTCGCCTCACTTCCATTCATGAATTCTCTCAAGGGGCATTATGGGATAGAGCAGCGTGCATGGGATGCGCACTTTAGAATCTCGCCGGAAGTAGGAAGCCATCTGCGTACTTCTCGCATACTGATTTTCGAATTCTATGAATTCGGACATACTACTCGGCTCGCTTACTGATTTTAGCGTACTATATAGTATGAAAGTATGCGGTTTCGGACGCAGCCAATGTGTAAATCTGAATTTATTTAGTTTTTATTCAGTAATTTATTACTTTTTATTTAATAATTAAGGTTTTAGTTATGATACTCCGCTGGATACTCCCAAAATAATTCCAGAAATTCGCAGATTTTTACCAAAATTCTCCACAGAAATAGCAAAAAACGCCTGCAGATTCCGTCTGGCCCTGGTTATTATGTACCGTGTCATTTATCTACTCTGCGCGATGTCACAGGCCAGGGCGAGTAAATAAAACGCTCCCACTACTGCGTGTTTTCTTTACAGCGTCTATTATGGATTACCTGTGATCCATAAAAGCTAATTATGAATGGAAAGCATTGTCAATGCACTGAGATATCGCATTGAACCAAATCGATGGCATGATAATCGTAACCGAACCAAACCAAACCAAACCGTGAGACGAGTGTAGTTTCACACCCCTGCCTGGAACACTGTTTTTTTTTTTTTCTTTTCAAGCTGACAGGTAAAAAGACGAGGCCACTCGCTACAGTGAAACTGCTGTCATGGAAAATTAAATGGATGTTCTTGATTGGTAGAAGATGAACAAACAATCCAACCCAAAACTTGCAAAATCAGCCGGATCACAACTCTACATCTCGGTCTGTAGCCGCAGGAAAGGGTGTTCAGTTCTGCTGGACGCACCATGAGTGAGAGACTGCGCTAAAGGCAGTGGATTTAATAATTTTCCTCCACAGAAACACGTAGCCTAATCTTGGTGAGTAAAGGGTTTTTAAATTATAAATAAATGTTAATTAAACCATATAATCATAATGTAGACAGAGTATACAGGCTAATGGTGGCATTATTCTTTTAATATTCAGCTTCACCGCCGCCTTAATGCCAGATTGTGAAGAGAAGTGGAGAAACAAATCCAGCAGAGCCTTTATCTTAATTTCGTTATTGCCAAAATACCCGTCATCATTTAGAGTTTATTTTAATTTGATTTGTTAAGCAAGATTTTTTTTCATTGGTGTGTTGGCCAATTTAAAGGCTAAGTGTGTGTACCTAGACCTATAGAGTGCTGAGATGTTACGATGTTACAGAGGACTTTTTATTTCTTTGTTCCAACTTAAAGTGGCCTATAGTCTACGTTTGTTACAAATAAATGATGTTAAAACATATAAATGACTCATTATTGAAAAATGCATTAGAGCTGTGCATGAGCACATTTGTATAATGTCGGGCTGTAAACGGGTTCGGGCTTTATAAAGCTGTCAATCAAAACGTACCTGTCGTACTCGGGACCTATCGGGTATAATTTTTATGGCCCGAATATACGGTGTGGGAGTAAATTTCATTAGTAAATTTCATTAGCATGCGCACTGAGTTGTTCATGATTAACCTGGATGCACGAGCGCAGCAGCTGTGTTCACGTAAAGACCCCCCCCCCCCAAGATCCGTTGTAAAATTGACAACCGTTGACCGGTCCGCGGTGATAAAAAGGTTGGGGACCACTGTTGTAACCAATCAGCATTAAGTGACTACATATTTTTGCACAAATTTTTGCATTGGGTGCCCAAATTTTTGCATTTTTGCACAGCCTATTTTCCAATTTTACTTAAATTTCACACATCTCAGTACTGCTGCACTACGAATTTCTGTCTGAAAAACATGACATTATCTAGCTTTCTCTAGAAACTGGATGGCATTTCACTGTGATTTTCTCTTATAAAGAAAGGTTGCATAATTATGCAGCCACAGCGGTGCCCAAACTTTTGCATAAGTCTGTATATCGTTAACAGGATATGAGATGACATATATTGAGATATTTATCATATCGCTCTGCCCTACTGTTCCTTTAGTAATAACATCAAGTCTGATTGGCCCCATTATAAACGCACATTTATTTTAGATTACCTGAGACCTGAGGCAATTCATACCAAAGCCGACCCGTATCCGAGGCACAATTCGAAGCTTTGGCCTTGAACCGGCTCGGATCTTGGGTCGGCCCATGGGTTTTGGGATCCATGAGGACCTGTGATGGCGTCTAGTTCTCACCATGCCGTCAGTGAAGTATTTGCAGCTCATCTTGATGAATTTGACGGTGGCCGGACTCTCGTCTTCAGACAGCGGTGACGTCTCTCTGCACACAGGACGTCCCGGCCGGCTGCTGTACTCACCATCCTGACAGAAGAGTAAACGTGTGACCACAATAGATATGAATGGCAAAATTATTCACTCTCCTGTTTATTTTCTTTTTCAATATTTCCCAAATGATGTCGAACAGATTCAGGAGTTTTTCACAGTATTTCCTATAATATTTTTTCTTCTGGAGAACGTCTTGTTTGTTTTATTTCGGCTAGAATTAAAGCAGTTTTTAATAGTTTTAAACCCATTTTAAGGTCAATATTATTAGCCCCCTTCAGCAATATTAGTTTTGGATTGTCTCCAGAACAAACCACTGTTATACAATGACTTGCCTAATTACCCTAACTTTACCCTAATTAAACTAGCTATTAATAATAATAATAATAATCATATTTCTGACTTTATATGTATCATTGTTATATTTACATTTTGCAAGTTATTTGAAATACTAAAGCATCCGTTTCACCTGCATTTAATATTGCTTTTGTGTCAATAAAATCCCTTTAATGTGATGAGGATGCATCCGACTTTGACCCAAATTGCTCATAATAAAGAGTTTGAGGAAAGTTTTAGATGTATTATCATGGCAGGTTTAATTGGGTCACGCGTCATGAGATTTATGCGTCATGAGCTTGACTTATAAAAGGCCCATAAAGTGTTGAAGCACACAATCAGTGTGTTCGCTTATTCTTATGAATTTATGATACTTCTTTGCTTAAAATCATTTCCTTAATAACATATTATAACATGCAAAAACATATTACAACACATATCATTCTCAGTGGAGTGTTAAAGATGATTGACACTTTAAAAAACATACAGCTGAAGGCAAAATTATCAGCCCTCTTTGGATATTTGTATTATTTATTTCTTTATATACTGTGTGTGTGTGTGTGTGTGTGTGTGTGTGTGTGTGTGTGTATATACACACACACACACACACACACACACACACACACATGCATACATACATATATACACACACACACATATATACAGTCACCGGCCACTTTATTAGGTACACCTGTCCAACTGCTTGGTAACACAAATTTGTAATCAACATGGCAGCAGCTCAATGCATTTAGACATGTAGACATGGTCAAGACGATCTGCTGCAGTTCAAACAGAGCATCAGAATCGTTGGTGCCAGACGGGCTGGTCAGAGTATTTCAGAAACTGCTGATCTACTGCCATTTTCATGCACAATCATCTCTAGGGATTGGCAAAACATTGCCTTGTCTGAAGAATGCTCAATTTCTACTGCCACATTCGTATGGTAAGATCAGAATTTGGCATTAACAACATGAAAGCATGGATCCATCCTGCCTTGTATCAGCGGTTCAGGCTGGTGGTGGTGGTGTAATGGTGTGGGGGAGATTTTCTTTGCACACTTTGGGCACATTAGTACCAAATGAGCATTGTGTCAACGCCATGGGTACATACGTACCTATCTTCTGATGGCTACTACTAGCAGGATAACACTCCATGTCATAAAGCTCAATCATCTCAGACTGGTTTCTTGAACATGACGATGAGTTCACTGTACTCAAATGGCCTCCACAGTCACCAGAGCTCAATCCAATAGAGCAGCTTTGGGATGTGGTGGAACGGGAGATTGGCATCATGGATGTGCAGCCGACAAATCTGCAGCAACTGTGTGATGCTATCATGTCAATATGGAGCAAAATCTCTAAGGAATATTTCCAGTAGCTTGCAGAATCTCTGCCATGAAGGATTAAAGCAGTTCTGAAGGCAAAAGGGGGTCCAACACGGTACTAATAAGGTGTACCTAATAAATGGCCAGTGAGTGTGTGTGTGCGTGTTTTTATATATAAATATATAAATAAATGAAACATAAAAATAAATCTTATTATAAAATAACATAAAAGTTATATATGTGTTCCCTATTATTATTTTATTCCAGCCAGGCTAAAAGAAATAAGACGGAATAAATATTTGAAGAAGAATTCACACTTCACAGGCCGACTAATAAATGTCTTTGACTGTGAAGGCAACCCAAATTGGTCACACTTTACAATAAGGTTCATTAGTTAATGTTAATTAATGCATTTACTAACATGAACAAACAATGAACAATACATTTACTACTGTATTTATTCATGTTAGTTAATGTTAGTTAATGAAAATACAGTAGTTCATTGTTAGTTCATGTTAACTCATGGTGCATTAACTAATGTTAACAAGCATGGACTTGGATGTTAATAATGCTTTAGTAAATGTTCAATTATGATTAATAAATGCTGTACATGTGTTGTTCATGATTAGTTAATGTTACTAAATGCATTAACTAATGAACCTGTTTGTAAAGTGTTACCAACAAATTTAATAAGCGAGGCTCTTGACATCTCATTGCATCTTAATAAAGAAAAACGATTAGTTTGTGCAAGAGACTCTGACCTTTTTGAATGATTTTGGTCATTTTTAGCCATTATGTTGGCTAATATGAATCACCAAAAAAATCTAAATCAACAATATTTCATGAAATTTCAAGTTTTATACAATATTTTCAAAGTAAATAATAAGAAAGAAACACTCTTACCTTGATTTCTGTGGACTCTGACGCTGCGAGGTGTTTAGAGCAATCACTGACCTGAGAAACACATTTGGCTTCGTCCTCGTCAGGAACAAACAGTTTCTGTCAGAGATGAAGAAAAAAAAAACTGAGTTTTGAGATTTCAGTCCATGAGAGATGGTCAGGACATTAAAGCAAAAAACAAAACGAACTATGAGATATGGGTAAAGAGAACACATTATTGTGTTTAAAACACTGAAACATTAATTTCAAAGGCATTAAAATGCATTACAAAGGGTCTGGTGTAAAGGTCTTTGTGCACTGAAGTGCGAAGGTACACAAATGTGCACACTGAGACCGATGCGTATGAATAAATCATTTAGAAAAAACGTAAAAAGAATTTTAAAATGAAGTATAATATCTTGCTTGATTTTTTGTTCAGAAAGGTAAATAAATTAGAGTAATCACTTACTCTGAAACTAATTGCACCCAACACTGACTGTAATGCTGTATTCACACCAGACGCGGAACGCACGGATAAATCGCGCTATTCGCACATAAATAGCTGCGTAAACATTTGAGTTCACTCTATTCATTCGCGCATCAAATTCACTTCAGAACAGACGCGGACTCGCGTGATGGGCAGGGCTTCAGTCTCCCCGGTGACTCTAGCTTCATAGCTAAATTTCTAACATGGATTTTATTGAGAAAATAACAGTGTTTATGTGTTTTATGAAGACTTAAAAACAGTGTCGATACGTTTAGGGCCGTGTCTGAGTCCACTAGATTCTTTCAGAGGTGCAGCAGCTCTGTGAGCTCATAAACTCCTCCAGAAACTGAACCTGGATGACGGAGGGTTTCAGCAGTGCTTCTGACTGAGCCGAGCCCAGTTTGATGAACTTCTTGTCTGTGTCAGCTTGAGGATTTCCCCCGGGACCCCAACAACAGGCGATACGTCACAATCACGCCCCCACAAGAGCAAGCTCCTGATTGGTTAACGCGGCTTGAATGTCCGCTGAAGTTCAGACTTTTGAACAAGCAATTTGCGCAAAACGCACAAAACACTCAATTCGCGCCACCCAATTCGTGCGTATCGCGCCGCAGGATGTCTATTCGCGCGTTTGCATTGACTTAACATGTAAATCACTCACGCTTGACGCGCGTTCCGCGTCTGGTCTAAACGCAGCATAAAAGAGTGGATAAGCTCCGCCTCCACAGAAAACCAACACCCACTTTTACTTCACTGTCTGTTTAGCCTTTAAATATGCAAAACTGTCAGTCAATCTAAGAAGTGGGCGTTTACTTTGAGTCTGCTCTTGGCCACGCCCACTGAAACCTAGCATTCGGATGTGGCTCCAAAACAGCACAGAAAATTCTAAATTCTGATTATTTTTACATAAAACTCAGTTTATACCTCATATTATAATATTATTTTATATTAATAATATTTATTAATATTTATTCCATTATTATTAAATAAACATGAAAAGAAATCCATTACTTGACTTTATTTCAGCAGAAACTTAATTTATTTACAGTAATTAGTTTCTTCAAAATGAATTACACCCAACACTGAACGACACAGTGGATAAGCTCCGCCTCCACAAAAAACCAACATCCACTTTTACTTCACTGCCTGTTTTGCATTTTTAATATGCAAAACTGCCAGCCAATCCAAGTAGTGGGCGTTTACTTCTGAGTCTGCAGTTGGCCATGCCTACTTGAACAGAGCATTCAGATGAGGCTCAAACACAGCACAGAAAACAGTCGATTATTTCTAAATTCTAAATTTTTTTTTTACATAAACCTAAACATAAAAAATTGATACCCTTAAACATGTAATCATACGGATAAATGTAACCTTCTATACTTAAAGGGCCAAGACACCCTCCAGTTTCGATTCAGGTCTACCTCAGAATTTTTTCAAAAACTGCATCATAATGGGCTCAACACACACAAATCTGTTAACATCTCAAAAAAAGTACTCGAGGGTTTCTTGAACCTTTAAATAAAATGTATATAGAAGTATATATGTATACCAAAAAACATAATTAACCTGCTTCTCTGTGTTGATTTATACACAACGGTGGAATTTATGCACAGAATGTATTTGCCTTAAATACGAAGTAACTAAATAAATTATCAAAAAAATAATCCCTTACTTTTTTCAGCAGAAAAGTCATTTAATCAGAGTAATTAGTTACTCTGAAACTAATTACACCAACACTGGCTGTAAAAGAATAAATAAGCTCCGCCTCCACAGAAAACTGACACCCACTTGTACTACACTGTCCGTTTTCTCATTTTAATATGCAAACCTGCCAGCCAATCAAATAAGTAGGCATTTACTTTATAGTCCACATTGGCCACGCCCACTCAAACAGCATTCAGATGAGGCTCAAATACAGCACAGAAAATAGTTGATTACTCCTAAATTCATATTTATTTATTTTTTTAAGTAAAACTCTAAACGTATACCTTATATTTTAATCAACTAATCGCTCTCAATTGATTTTTTTCTGAAACATGTAATCATATGGATAAATCTAACCTTCTGCACTTAAGTAAAATATAATAGAAATATATGTATAACAAAGAACACAATTAATCTGCTTCTCTGAATTGATTTACACACAACTGTTGAATTTATGCACAGTATTTAAGAGTAAATTAAATGTAAATCAAAGGCGGCAACACCAAGGCTCAAAAAATACAAATTTATTAAATTAAAAAGGCTGACACAGAGCGTGTAATGTTTCGAGCCGCCGGCTCTTCATCAGACAATGTTCATCACAATCAGGTGCTTCTGTTTATACACTTCCGGATCACATGATCTCCTCTCGCATATATGCCAACATATACATACATGCATATGTATACATACACAATCGTTCATATATACATATACATGCACATGAATATGTATACACATTCACATATAGTCAATAGCTTTGATATTATAAATCAAATTACAAAAAATATATATAATAAACTATAATAATAAACTATAATATTTAATCACAAATTATAATAAAGAAAAATAAATAAGGAAAAAAATAAATTATATATATATATATATATATATATATATATATATATATATATATATATATATATATATATATATAAAAAAAATTTTAAAAACACACATACACACACTCTCACATACTTTTTTTTTTTTTTTTTTGTCTCTCTCTCTTTATCACTTATATATATATATATATATAGAGAGAGAGAGTGTGTGTGTGTGTATATGTATATATATATATATATATATATGTGGGCGTATATACATATATATATATATATATATA